TTCTTCATCTTCCTCCTCTCCCGCGCCGGAATCATCGGAGGACAAGTTCACCGTCGCCGTCGCCGCCTGGCCCTCAGGGGCCTCCGCCGGCACCAAACCGACCCCGTCCAAGGTGGGCATGGTGTCCACCACCTGCTCCCAGTCATCACGAAGGAACAAGGGGACCGAAGCGCTCTTCAGGCTAGCCATGTCCTCTCCGACCAGGAAGCGGAGGGCTGCGGTCAGATCCTCATCAGCCAGGGCATCCGAGCTCAGGCAGAGGACAACGTCCGCATCCTCGAGCCTCCACAGTGGGCGTGAGTGCGCTTGAAGAGGGGCCACCCGGTGCGACAGGAACTCCCTTAAAACTACAAGAAATATGTTATCTTGTGACCTGCACTGTTGGTCACTGAAAGGTCATAGTTTTTCATTTGTGACCTTTTTGTGACCAAAAACAGAAGGTCAAAAGCTGAGGGTCGTAAACTGACTATAGCGACCTTCTCTGTGAGAAGGTCATGGATGTTTATGACCAAAATATTCCTACTATGGCATTTTGATCACTAGTAGCCTCCCCAGTCCACGTAGGCATCCAGCGTGGCAAGCTGATGTGGCACAAGATTCAGCCCGGTCCAATTCGGTTTTCTACATGGGCCTAGCCCAACAATTCGGCCCTTTAATGTATTTTTTTCTTGTTAATTTTCGGTAGCTACATGGGCCAGGCCCAACATTTAAGCCATTTTATTTTTGGGCCGTAGCCTTTTTAGTCCATTGATTTTTCTACTTTCAGCCATTATACATTGGGGTACCACTAGTAAGCTAGCCCCACATGTCATGCTTATCTCAAAATATGTCCCACATGTCAAATTTTTTGAAATTTGTCAAACAACCATTATAACTTGGACCCTCTTGTCAGGTTTCCATTTCACGGGTATTCAAATCACATACACAATCATTGTTTTGAGCAGACTAGAGAGCAAATGAAATTTGTCCAAAACAAGACTACATTAGTCTATTACAATTCAGTATACTACAACCCAGATATGCGTACAATTACAACACATAATATGCTCCTCTTTGTTGATATGATTCATAGCTTTGGCCTTGGATTCACACTTCACCCGTGCAAAGAATAAGAATGAAAAATATAAGAATAAGAATGTGTTCATGGAGTGATCCAATAACTTATAAGCAAGAATTGACATCAAATGCCATGTAGATAAATAGTATGACTAACACTAACCAGTATGTGTTCATGGAGTGACAAATGTTCTCACTAGCTAGGATTTTTTTGGTATATAGTATACTGACATGTGCAACTCTAACTAAATTGATCATGGAAATGAGAAGAACTGTAAGCATGTTTTTTTGGGTATATAGTATACTGACATGTTCATTCAGAATCTAGGCAACAACAGATACACACCAGCAGATAAACAGCAGATACACATTCAGAATCCAGTCAAATTTTAAGCAACAACAGAACAGATCTAACAAACTAGATCTAACAAACAGATCTAACAAACTAGATATCCAGACCATAATCAGCATGCATCAGGATTTATGGTTCTAGCAAAAAAGTGGCTGACTAACAAACTAGATATGCTTCTGCAGACTAACAAAATGGCAGCAAACATACTAATCAGATTGATTCGTTCAATTAGGCAGGCACGCAGATAGTCAATGTGGCTAATTTATACCTAGTGCATTTACACCAAATTAGGTCATTGAGCTGACTTGGAATTATGACTCTGGAACCTTCAGAGCACTGAACATGTTATTACCTACAACATCAATCAAAGAAGCAGAAGTAAGGAACTTAAGTCCATATTGCAAATCTGTCAACGGAAGGCCTATGAATCAGAGGTGCGCATATTTGACATGAATGGCAATAGATCTCCAACCACCAGGAGTGCAAAATAACTAGCAGGAGAAGGAAAGCAAGGTTGCCTATGCACAACAAAAGCACTTAAGTGAATGTAATATGTCCCCCCGCTCCTTTTTTTCAAGACCAAACCAGGAAGAGTGTTGTCGTTTCACTAAAATCACAGGTGAACACACAAAGAAACAAACATTTGTGCTTCCTCCGTTCCTAAATATAAGTCTTTTTAGAGACTCCAGTATGAACTACATACGAAGCAAAATGAGTAAATCTAACTTTAAAATATGTCTATTACATTCGTATGTACTAGTTTGTAGTGGAATTTTCAACGAATGGAGTAGAACACATGGACGCTGAGATCCCGTGATTAGCGAAGCAGCAAAAGACCATGGGACACCACCAAGCAACATGATGGAGAACACCCTCAAGCAAACCAGATCGGTATATGCATATATGTAACCTATGCACCGAGGGCTCCAAGAGGAGCGCGATAGACGCAAACAATGAGAAAATGTGTACAGAAGTGTTGAATAGCCGTCACCATAATTGTAGAAAATATGTACTATAAATATTAGGAAAACTTAAGAGTATTTCAAGGCACAGTAGTGCAGCCCTGGCATCGCCACTGCAGCCCTGAGTTGTGAGTATGTAGAACCCATTATTCAGAATCACCTTTCTCTGAAATTGGAGCATCATCAACACTGCTACTGCAGGTTTTTTGAGTTCCCAAACCCATCTTTGTTGACTCTATCTGAACAAATGGAGTCACACGAACATTAACCTTGAGATACAGGGGGTATAAATGACTCATGTTACATATTTGCTTGGCTGTCGGCTACAAATTAGATGAAGTTTCAGCTAGCAAAGAGGAACAGAGTAATGTGCTTGCGCAGTTGTGCTACCTTGAGGCCATCCTGGGAGTAGAGCCGCTCCTGCATGAGCAGGAGGATCTTGGGCACCAAGTTGCCCCTGTCGTTGTAGCCGCACTGCATCGACTCCGGCGACACCCCGAACACGCTGGCACTGCAGGCCGAAAAGCACACACATTTCAAATCCGAACTGAATCCTCATCCTCGTGCGGGAGCACGCGCGGCTCGGCAGGCAAGCAGTAATCTAGAAGAAGGGACAGAGTCTGGCCGGTTGGTTTGAGGAGAAGAAGAGGAGGAAGCTACCTGGCGCTGGGGGCTGGGCAGGGGATCTGGAGCTCGAACTCGACGGGGAGGCCAAGGAAGCCCGGGAGGCGGTCGAAGGTGACATGCGCGACGTGGTGGACGTCGGTGGGCCAACCGATGTCCATCCCATAGCCCCCCGCGCCGGCGGCTGGGTCGTCGGCGTCCGCCATCTGGCACGGCAACGCCACCGACTTGCGCAGCACCGTGAGCAGCAGCTCCAGCACCTGCCCCTGCCGCTCCTCCTGGTCCGCCTTCCACTCCCCCACGCCCCCGCTTCCCCCGCAGCCATCGCCGGGGCGGGAGATGAGCACCACCTCGCCCATCGCTGCCTCCTCCTCCTCCTAGCCTCCTCCTCCTCCTCCTCCTAGCACCACCTCGCCGGGATGGATCAAGTGCTCCTCGGCTTGCTTTGGAGAAGCGAAGGAGACTGGCGGTGGCTCCGCCAGCGTGTAGCCCGCTGCTCCCAGTCGACCTCGAGGTAGGAGAGGGATGGATCTCGCAGCTCTGGATCTGCGAGGAGGAGAGGGGGAGGCCCTGCGGCGAGCTATGGTGGGAGGATGTGGTCTGAAGCAGCGAGAAGGGGGCGGGGGCGATGACAGCGGCGTGAATGGATCTGAATCAGGGAAAGGGGAGAGAGGAGTGGATATGCATCAGGGGAGAGGGGAGAGGATCTGAGGGGGGGGAAGAAAGAAAGAAAGAAAGGAGGCGGGGGGGTGGATGGAAGATGCCAGCTAGGGTTTCGCCTCAGGTCGGGTAGGTGGGGGAGGCGAGGAGTGACGGCTGCCTTTGGATCTGGGAGGGTCCAACGGTGTTTCGTGCATGATCCGTGTGCTTTGTCCACGGACCAATCAGAAGCAATACAATATTATGACCAATTAAATTGGTCGTGATAAATTTAAAAATAAGATGTTAGATCATCTCAGCTATTTACTTGACCTGGACAATTCAAAAAAAAATGAAACAAATGAAAAACCTTCTCATCATGTCATCAAATGTGACCTAGTTTTTAGAATAAAAAAATAACAAAATAGTAATAAGGAACTTTTCATTTTCTTTGCACGAAAATTCATTTTCCATTTTCCGAGTGCCCAAAATGAGTTTTTTTGTGATGGACATACCAAATATTTATTGCAAAATTGTATCAAATCATTTTTCTAAAATACTAGACCATATTTAATGCACAAATAACCAAATGGTTGGGTGTCAAAATTTTTGATCCACCTCTCATGAGAAAGACAAATTCCCGCTGATTCAGCTGGAAGCGGGTCAAATTTGAACTGCAGCTGCCTCATAGTTTGCTCTTTATTTTTTCCAAAAATCATTTCTAGGTAAATAAGTATCTATTTAATCAGAGAAACACCAAAAAAATTCCAAGATTCAACCACTAGCTAGGAACGGTCAAGCCCGGCGTTTTGACCGCATTTTGAAACACGCATAAAAAAATCAAAAAAAATGAAAAAATTGGAAAACCTCCGCATTGTGTCATTATATGTGACCTAGTTTCCAGAAAAAATAATAAACTTGTAATACGGTAATTATTTTAAAAAAGTGTTCTCGGAAATGAGCTATCATGTGTGAAGATTCACGGCTTTCAAGTCAAATGATCAATCTTATGGCCACATTCACGGCATAGTTTGTTCAAATGACCTCATATCGTGCACAAGGGTGCATCTTGGAATGACAAACAATGTTCCCTAAGGAACTTTTCATTTTCTTTGGACAAAAAATTCATTTTCCATTTTTTCGAGTGTCCAAAATGAGTTTTTTTGTGAAGGACCTACCATATATTTGTTGAAAAATTGGACCTAATCAATTTTATAAAATACTAGGCCATATATAATGCACAATTGACAAAATGGTTGGGTGTCAAAAGTTTTGATCCACCTCTGGTGAAAAAGACAAATTCCCGTCGATTCAGTTGGAAGCGGGTCAAATTTGAACTGCGGCTGCCTCATAGTTTGCGCTTTATTTTTTCCAAAAATCATTTCGAGGTAAATAAGTATCTATTTAATCAGAGAAACACCAAAAAAATTCTAAGATTCAACCACTAGCTAGGAACGGTCAAGCCCGACGTTTTGACTGCATTTTGAAACGGGCATAAAAAATTCAAAAAAAACAAAAAAATGGAAAACCTCTGCATTGTGTCATTATATGTGACCTAGTTTCCAGGAAAAATAACCAACTTGTAATACGGCAATTATTTTAAAAAAGTGTTCTCAGAAACGAGCTATCACGTGTGGAGATCAATGGCTTTCAAGCCAAATGATCAATCTTATGGCCACATTCATGGCATAGTTTGTTCAAATGATCTCATATTGTGCACAAGGGTGCATATTGGAATTGGAAACAATGTTGCCTAAGGAAGTTTTCATTTTCTTTGGACGAAAAAACCATTTTCCATTTTCCGAGTGCCCAAAAGGAGGTTTTTTTTGTGAAGGACCTCCCAAATAATTGTTGCAAAATTGGACCAAATCATTTTTCTAAAATACTAGGCCATATATAATGCACAATTGACCAAATGGTTGGGTGTAAAAAAATTTTATCCACCTCTGGTGAAAAAGACAAATTCCCGCCGATTCAGTTGGAAGCGGGTCAAATTTGAACTGCGGCTTCCTCATAGTTTGCTCTTTATTTTTTCCAAAAATAATTTCTAGGTACATAAGTATCTATTTAATCAGATAAACATCAAAAAATTTCCAAGATTCAACCACTAGCTAGGAACGGTCAAGCCCGTCATTTTGACCGCATTTTGAGACGGGCATAAAAAATTAAAAAAAATTAAAAAATTGGAAAACCTTCGCATTGTGTCATTATATGTGGCCAAGTTCCCAGGAAAAATAACAAACTTGTAATACGGCAATTATTTTTAAAAAGTGTTCTCAGAAACGAGCTATCACGTGTGAAGATTCATGGCTATCAAGCCAAATGATCAATCTTATGGCCACATTCTTGGCATAGTTCGTTCAAATGATCTCATATTGTGCACAAGGGTGCATATTGGACTGGAAAACAATGTTTCCTAAGGAAGTTTTCATTTTCTTTGGATGAAAAAACCATTTTCCATTTTTTGAGTGCCTGAAATGAGTTTTTTTTGTGAAGGACCTACCATATATTTGTTGCAAAATTGGACCTAATCAATTTGAAAAAATACTAGGCCATATATAATGCACAATTGAAAAAATGGTTGGGTGTCAGAAGTTTTGATCCACCTGTGGTGAAAAAGACAAATTCCCGCTGATTCAGGTGGAAGCGGGTCAAATTTGAACTGCAGGTGCCTCATAATTTGCTATTTATTTTTTTCCAAAAATCATTTCTAGGTAAATAAGTATCTATTTAGTCAGAAATACATGGTTTGATGGCGAGACATCGAGGTTTCGACGGTGGCTGAGGGCCCCAACTCTAGAGCGCGTAAGCTCGCATGCCCGCCGCGTGGTCACCGCGTGACCGTGGTGTTCCCATGCGTTCTGGGAGGCCTAGGCATGTCTAGTGGGTTGTTCACTCCCCAGGTAGATGCTAGGAAGAAAATTATAACATAAGATTCTCACGAGGAGACCGATCAATGCTCAAACATGAACAAGCAGCCAAGTGTTTGATTTGCGGTATGGGAAATGCACATGGCTAATGGGCATGAGTTTTGGCTGAGGATGGTTAGTTACTAAGAAGACCATCTTCACAAATTTTTAGGGAAATCAAGAATATATAAATAACAGTTCCTTCACAAAGTGCTGCTTTGAACAGAATAGGAAAATGAATATTGTTGAGTTATTTTTGAACTAGGCAAGGAAGGTTTTTGACATATTTGATGAAGATATGATCCAAACAATTTATGAGATTTTTTGGGAATTTTTGGAATGACAGAAATATAGGTTGTTTCACAAACTAGGGCAAAAACTGCCACATGGACATGACACATAGGCAAAACAGATGAGGTGGCGCCTAGTCATCACAACCAACCACAATCTACAAGGCTATGACCATCTATTTTGGTCGTTAACAACTAGAAATAAGGCAGCGGACCAGCCTTGTTTGCTTTGTGACCATTTGGTGTAAGGAAATTACGACCTTTCTGACAAAAATGGTCGCAATGGTTTAGGGTTTGGAGCCCCCCGAACAGCTTTTGACCAATTGGTCTCAAATGTTCATAGATCTATGACCAATTCTTCCAGGGTCACTGACAGAAGGTCATTAGTTGACATATTTCTTGTAGTGCAAGAGCATGGCCCCGGTCAGCTTAACCGCCCTCAGATTGCCCGGCCTCAGGTCAGTGCTCATCTTCTCCACCACAAGCTTCGCCCGCCGGTCGTCGAGCTTCACGCGAGACCATGCCTCAACGGCCTCGGGCTGTTCTGTGGACAACTCCTGCAGGGGGTTGTTGCATCTGGCGTCCACCATGACCCTCTTGCGCCGGAAGCCGTCGGCCCTCTTCCCGGCCTTCAAGATTGCGTTGGCTTTGGAGTACGCGACAAAGCTCGCGCACGCCGAGATATTGGTGCCACTGACCCAGAGGGAGAAGAAGTGGCACAGCAAGGCTATGGAGGGCATCACCCCGACGTGCGCCTCACCGTAGTGGGCAAAGATTGACAGGAGGAGAATGGAGTTGGGGTGAGATGCAGAGCATGCAACTGATATTGGCGAAGGACAACAAGGAAGAACTCAGAGAAAGGAGGCACCAGACCAGCGATGACAGCGCTCATGAAGAGGGGGTAGAAGGTGCTCCCTTTATCCTCCGGCTGGGCGTAGTCGAGCCAGAGCGCGGTCTCCCCCATCTCGTTGCTCTGCGCTGCCGCCATCTAGCGCGTGAGGGAGAGATTCTTCTATGTCATGTTTGGAGAATCTAGAGCCGGCGAGTACCCGGCTGGTGGAGCCCCAGTCGCGGTCTTGCGGGGCGCCATTGCTCGCCGGAGATGAAAGGCTAAGGCAGATCTCAAGATTTCGGAAGCAGGAGGGTGGAGAGCAAGAAAGGGGATCTAGAGCAAGGCAGATGCGAGTAATGAAAGTAAGCCTAACCCCGGGCTAGCCTTTTGTCAGTCGGGCAGTTGCCGAGGCAGCATGGGGAAGCGGAGACGCATACGTCCAATCAACCGCCACACGACGCCCAAGGTCGCAGGCTGTTGGGGCCCGTGGCGCTCCACACTTGCCCCTTCACTTCTCTGCTAAGCCCAGTCCGAGTGCGCCTTGGGCGCGGGGGCTACTGTCGGCATTCTAGGAACGGGGGTCCCTAGACTTGCCTGCCTGCGGCCTGCGGCGTGGCTCGAGTGGTGGCCCAGTACGACCCATCTTCATCAATGCAAACTCAAGACCCTCGCGAGGGGCCAAGCCTCGC